ACAGCAGAAAGTGGCAGAGCCACAGTTTTAATCTGGGTAGAAAATGAAAATAGATAATGCGTATTCCTAGGATTTGAGAAATGTTTGAGGTGGGGGGGAACGAGCATCAGGGGGTACTGAAACGGACTGGAAGAGTGTGAACCCTGGTGGGTTGTTGTTGTTGTTGTTGTTGTTGTTGTTTTTAGTCCTACGTTAGTGGCATGAAAGCACTGCCGTGGAAGCGATGGAGCAGCAAATGCTCTACCCACATGGAACTCTTTGGGACCTGCACTTCAATTAGCCCCAAGAGGAAAAGGAGAGAAGAACAAACAGGTCTGAAGCTCCCACTGAACATAAGGCACTGGCCCAGGCGTGTTCCAGGGACCTTTTCATCTCTATTTCATAGTTTAGGAAACAAACTCAGAGAAGCCAAGCAAATTTCCAGTTTTCACACTTGTAAAGTTGCAGAAACGGGATGCAAATGCAGGTCTGACAAAATCCAAATGTCATACTTTTCTCAGAGTATCACATTGCTTCTTCCCGAGACACACACTAATGGGGAAAGGGAGGGTGTGGATCAGGTACTGTGCTTATTATCTGGCTGACAAAATTATCTGTATACCAAACCCCCGTGAAACACAGTTTATCTGTATAACAAGCCTACACATGTACCCCCGAACCTAAAAGTTTAAAAAATCTTAAGATGAAAACATGAAATTATCCATAGAACATATTAAATTGGAATGTCACTTGAATTAAACATTGCTCAGGATGTAATTTATTGAGATTTTATTCCTCTATTTATTATATAATTACAAGGAATGAAAATCATGAGCAGTGTTTCAAAGCATTCATCTATTAACCAGAAGGTTTTAACCAAATGCATCTCTGGTTTTAATCAGGCCAAGGTCAAAGGTTAAATAAATTAACTTGCCCATATGCTTAGGAAGCACTTTGAAAACAAGACCATAACTTTTTTTTTTTTTTTAAGGCAGAGTCTTACTCTTGTTGCCCAGGCTGGAGTGTAATAGTGTGATCTCAGCTCACTGCAACCTCCTCCTCCCAGGTTCAAGCAATTCTCCTGCCTCAGTCTCCTGAGTAGTTGGGATTACAGGCATGAGCCACCAGGCCCAGCTAATTTTTGTATTTTTGTAGAGACAGGGTTTCACCATGTTGGCCAGGCTGGTCTCGAACTCCTGACCTCAGGTGATCCACCTTCCTCGGCCTCCCAAAGTGTTGGGATTACAGGCATGAGCCACCGCGCCCAGCCAACCATAACTATTCTGTAGAAACTGGTAGAGTTAGTCAAAACCACGCATGCACAAAGCATACTATCAGATTCGCTCACAGTGAGTTTCCTAAATGTTTATATTAATTAAAAGGTCTGATGCTGCTATAAAATGTTTCTCTTCTTCTGTCTTTCTTAGCCTCCATACCATGCTAGATGTCAGCTAGGAGAGCTCAGAGGGCAGTCCCTGATTTTAATGAGTTGTATTCTGAAAGTAGTTTAGAAATGGAATTCATTGTTTCAGAAAATAATTGTTATAAACATAGGTAAATATGAAGCTAGTTCACTTAATTTATCTGACAGATTAAGTGGGCATAGCAGAAGGATTCTGAGGAAGTTGAGAAGATAAATTTGGTTTCATGAGAACAGGGTTTTGAATCTCTGAGAGAAGGAACGTTGCTCCTCTTTCCTAAATCATATATTATAAGCCTCATTTGTGAGTAACAGGATAATTAACAGTCCCTCTCTAGCTCTTCTTGTGTGCCAGACACAGTTCTAAATCTCTGTTTTTATTCATTCTGCAGCCGCACCAGATCAATCTGGTTCAATTTTTATGTAACAAAGTTGTAAATTTTTTTCAGCTGCCATGGACCCCCAAGTTGAAGTCGTATAACCTCAGCGTGCCCAAATGAACCAAGCACACAACCACAGGGGGAACCTAAGTGTTCCAATGGGAGAGCTGGAAGAAGGGGGACCAATTTAAGAAGTGCACACCATGTGGCAGGATCCAGGATCCAATCAGATTGAGCCCTGGGGTCACCCCAAGGCAGGATCCAGTTGGATTGTGCCTCCTGGCATCACCTACTGCAAGATCCAATCAGATCCACCCAGTCCCCAGCCCAAGGATACAGATTTGAGTATTTCCTCCTGTTTCCTTGCCAGTTGACTTGCAATAAAGTTGTTTTCTTTTTTTTTCCCTCTAAAGTTGGTGCTGTGGTATTGGCCTCTATGAACATCGGGTAGGAAGCTCACTGATTGCTTCGTAGCAATTCCTACAACAATTTTCTGAGGTAAGGACTATAATTGTTCCCATTTTACCAAAGAGAAAGAGGAGACACAGAGAGGTTAAGAGGTTTGACCAAGATCACACAGCTGGTAAATGGAACCGACTCGACTCACATCAGGAGAGGAAGGTATTCAACAGGCAGACACCCTGAATTCACGGCTTTTAGCATATTGTGACCATCCTCGATGAAGGGAAAAGGCGAGATTAAGAAGCACCTCTCTGTGACGATCCAGAAGACTATCTGAATAAGCGCTGGAGGTACGACACGTTTACTGTCCAATGCTCAGAGTTTCTAAGAAACTTCCAAATGGTAAGGTAAGTAACAACCTCAGGAGAAAGCCAAAAAGTGTAAGTCTTCATGGTGAACTTCAGCCTACAAAGATCATAAACACTCGGCCATACATTGCTGGGCACAAATGTGCTATGGCATCATGACTTTGTAATAGATTTCTATAAACATATGTTAAATGTTCTGCTTCTCTTCCCTTCGCTAGAACTTTAAGGCTACCCTTTCCTATTACGTTTCTATAAAAACTCGAAGGTAGATTCTTATCTTTCACCGGGGAGACTTTTGGGTATACAAATAATAGTCACAGCCATGTGTGTTTGATTTATTGCTCAGGCCATGGTAGTGTTGTGTATGGCCATTGGTGTCCAAGGTTTAAGTGTTGCATGCTTCCTAGTGGGACTATATTTTGAGTACACTTCTTGCAATTCTTTTTTTTTCTCCTTTTCCATATTTAATCTCAGATGATACCGTAAAAGTAACCAGCTGCAGAAACAGAAGAGTGTCCCAAGTCCTATGGAGTGGACTGAAAAGGCTGATAGGATCTTTTTAGTCTCAGTGGAGCAAGGCCGGAGGACAGGGTTTGGTTTGGTGTATGCTAACCAGAGTGCTTTCCTTTCATTTTCCACCAGAGTCAGTCCTGTGACGTGGAGTACGCAGTGTGTTGAAATGGGAGAAACTGTCTTTTTGATGGGTCTTATGTGTGAGCGAGACTGGTTTGCTTAATTACAAAAACGTGATGATGCCAGAGATCTGATAAACTATCGAGAGATTGAAAATCAGGTTTTGGGCATATCTATTTCCTCTGATGCCTTTAATTCCGTTGGAGCAACATGGTATAGATAGGTTAATCTGGAAATGCCTCTAGGCAAATTCAGTCCTTTTCTTAGTTTCTTCCAAATACTAGGATCATTTTATACCCATGGATTATTTGTGCAATACTTTTCCTCGGTAAGTTAGTTAATGAAAGTAAAACCTCTGGAGAAACTACACTTATATCTTGTTTCTATATTGATCCAGTTAATATCTTTTTCCTCTCCTTTTTGGGAACTTAATCCAGTAGACGGTGTTTTTGTCTGTGACAGCATGGTTAAAATAAATCTCAATTTGAGGGGAGGGCAACTCCGCAGTAACGACTTGTGCGATTTAGAAGCGGCATCAAACATTCTGCCTCTGTTCCTCTATTTGCAAAAAGGATCATTCTTGTGGCCCTTGTGGGAAAGAGGGTAATGTGTTATACATCCATGATAAAACGTACTTGCCCAGTACCTCCCCATTTCTCCGCTAAGTCTATTTATTCATTATTTCAATAAATATATATATTTTTGTATTCCAATCATGTACCAAGCCCTGTGCTAGGTATTGAAGGTATGGCATTCTGTATTTTTTCAGGTAAGATAGACAGATACATAGAGCAAATAATAAACTGTTAGGTGTCTTTGTATGAAAAGCACAGGGGACCTTAGAAGCACGTGGCGGAATTTCATTTAGCAACATAGAAAAGGAAGGGTGGTAAGAAATGAGGCTGGAGAGGGTCTGAAATGCTATGGCTGGGGGAAGACTTCAAAGAGTGGAACAGGAAAGAGGGACTTAATCATATGTACAGTTTAGAATGCTACCTCTGGGTCCAATGTGGAGAATGGTCGGGAGGAGATGGATAGCTTTAGGGTGCTTAATAATGATTTTTGTTGAATAGTATACCCTTCAAAGCCTAAAAACATCAAAAATCCTACCAATCCCCACATAAGAGTCATTGGAAATGGATTCTTACCCTACTTCATTTTTTATAAACATTTTAGGAAGAGCCTATTTTAGGGTTTTTATATTATCCATGATGGCAATAAGGAAAGATTCTCAAGTGAGAATCACTCTTCCATAGGCTTATCTAGAATTATTTTTTATCATCATCATCATCATCATCATCATCATCGTCATCGTCTAGCATAGACAGTCCCATAAATAGGAGAGTTGCCTTTTGGAGAAGATCAGCCTTGGTGACACAATGCTCAGCAATTTAGTTACAGCTCCTCCCCTTTTACTCCTATTCATTTAAATATTTGGAAGGGCAACTGAAAACGGCAGTTTTAGAAGACCCCTCCTCCAAGTCTCGCACAATTGGAAAGATTTCTCTTAGTTATCTTGCCTTTGCCAGCTGGTTTGTTTCCTACTGCCTTATATATACCACATGTTTTGATACAGTGTATTGCTGGTTCATTAGGTGTCTGCTGGAATCCATGTACTCTCTTTGTCTTTCTTTAACTTAAGTCTGGCCCCAATCATATCATGCTATTTTAATTGTTTGGAGGTGCCAGCTCCTGGTTGGGCAGCTCCAGGCCTCACTCCCATCCATCCTTGATAAATGAGGAAACAAAAAACCAAAGAGCCTGGTGTAATAAGACTTGAAGAAAATACCCTTTCCTTACCTTTTTTTTTCTTTTTTCTTTTTTTTTTTTTTTCCTGCCTCAGGTTTATTTGTACAAATAGCACAGGAGGACCCCAGCCCCATGCAGATGGCAGCCGGGAGGTGGGGGTGGGGGGTCGCACCAGTCCTTCTGTCCTCACGTTGGCAGACAGAGATACCTACTCTGTAGCCTTTGTAGTGGCTTGGGCACTTTTGGGAGCCTGAGCTGGAATTGAAGCTGGAGCTGCAGCCTGGGCCTTGGTTTGATCCTTGGCCTTTTTGACCGGCACAGCCGGAGCCCCTTGGCAATGCGAGCACGAGCACGCTTCCCAAGCTTGGGGTGGGCAGTGTAGGCAAGTGGATCGAGCTTGCGGCTGACACCCTTTGGGATCTTGAGCTTAACCTCCTTGGGCTTTACGAGGGCCTTGACAGCCTCCGCACGTGCACTCATGGCCTTGGCATGGTTGGTCTGCATCTTCTTTAGGCCCTTCTTGTGCTTCTTGGCAAAGTGCATGTTCCTCAGGAACTTGGGGTCCACCCCCTTAAGAGATTCGTATCTTTGTGATCGGGGTTTCTTGATACCATTTCTGTGCCATTTTCGGGACTGGTTGTGTGTGGTGTGGTTCTTGGACTTGGCCATGTCTGCATAGTCGGTCACCCGTCCTCTCCGCAGCCTGCGCCCCGCCGCCGCTCGTAAGTCGCGGATGGCATCCACCTTTTTTTTTCTGTATCAGTCCAAGCTGTTTGTGTTCTCTGACATTCCTTTTTCCCGAGACAGAAGTGAAGGAAACAGAATCAGATTGTGAACATTCAAAAACAATACAAACAGAATACATTTAATAGAAAGAAAACAAATTCCTCACAGAAAATTAACTGTCTCTGAAACTTTCTAGAAATTGTCACAAATAATTTGGTTATTAACAGTAACATTTATTTAGGAAATATAATTTTAAGGTTTTTTTAAAAAAAATGAGTCTGGGCTTATTTTATTTAAGGCCTTGTATGTGCTTCCGCAAAAATGATTTTGTAACTTAAAGCCATGTAAAGTACAAATTAAAATACTGACTTTTTGATTGTTTTATTTAGTTTCTTAGCCTGAATAACTACGTATCTATCTATCTATACACACATATATAATACATACATATACATGTATGTGTGTGTGTGTGTATATATATATACAACTGAGTAACTTTCTACATCTATCTAGATAGCTAGCTATTATATAATACACTGATGACTAGTAATAAAATCCTGAGGTTTAAAATAGAAGCTCTAGGACAGTTTCATATATATTCATTCATTGACTTACAACATAATGGACTAAGAGCTTTCTAAACAAAGGAACACATTTATGGAATTTAAATATTCTACTTACTTGTTTTGCATAACTCTTTTACATGTATACTGTCCCTGAGGTATTAGGAAACATGAAGATTATTTAGTATAACATCACCAGATGGATGAATACCTCTATAACAGTCATAAGAAGAGGTCATCTCACTTTTCTGTACATACCTTGTGATGTAAAATGTGCCATCTCTCTTGAAAGTAGATATATTTTCAGGCAAAATAATTATCAGACAGTCCTTTCTTACAATGAGCCAATGTCTTCCTTTCTGCAATGTTCTCCTGCTTCATTCTCTTTTTGCCCTCCAAGAGCCTCAGAGAATGAAACGAATCTCTCTTTCACCTGACAATGCTTCAGATATTTAGAGACAGCTATTATACTCTGGTCTTTTTCCATCACTTATTAAATATCCTCAAAATTTTTAACTGTTATTTGGAATTTTGTTTGTTAAAGACTTGTCAAATCCCCACATCCAGACCCGAACACAATGCTGCTGACCAGGACAGGGCAGACGTATCAGCCACCTTCATGAACTTTTAAATAACAAAGGAAGTTTTGTTCTTCATCTTCTCTCACAAACTTGCAGAAGAAGGTGGGCATCTGATTGACAGGTATCTTTACAACCTTTTGTGATTGTCTTTTGATTTTTGACTAAGATTTGCACTGAAAGTGTATATGATAAAATATACACAAAAAAGAAATGAAATCAGAAATAACATCAGGCTTTCGTTTAAAAACACAAATTATTGCTCTAATTAAAGAGTTTCTCATTGGAGCTTTGTTCTTTTAGGCTATCAAATGGAAAGTAGAAAAATGTGAACTGTACCTCACGTTAAAATAAAAATGTAGGACAAATTAAGTTTAACAGCGTTTAATTGAGCAAAGAATAATTCGTGAATTGGACAGCCCACAGACCAACCAGAATAGGTTGAGAGTGACTTCAGTGCCACCCCACCGTTGGAGATGATTTATGGACACACACAAAACAGATGCACAGAACATGGAAGTGAGGTACAGAAATAGCTGGATCGGTTACAGCTCCACGTTTGTCTTATTTGAAAAGGGTTGATCAGCTGGCTGCTCGTAATTGGTTGAAAATCTGTCATTGGCACTAGAATATGTCACAGTCTGTTTACACATCCAGTTATTTTACACTTCACTATGTACAAAAAACCTTTAGGAAGAACTTAAAATATGTAAGAAGGCAGCTTTAGGCTACATTTAATTTAACATTCATGAAGTAAGAATTTTATAATTATTTTTTGCTATAGTTTTGCTGTTTCATATTTCATCTCCGAATATATTTTGTTATCATTTGAATTTAATTCATCTGGTAATCAGCAGTTTTAAAAACATTAACATTGTTTTTTTCTGGAACACAGTAGAATTCATTTCTCAAGTTAAGATGTGCGTTTGAAACTGAGTTGTATTATGTCTAACCCAGCAAACCGGCCTTACTAATTTTAAATACAGTGATAGAGTTTCTTGCTGTTCCTAAACTCACAGCTGAGTATTTGGTTTTTAATTGTCTTTCTCATTTATTTCTTCATCCTCTTTCAGGGCATCCTTTCACTTTCAGGATTTGTCAACCTCGTGCTTAATTGTTTCAAATTACATTCTAGTAAATGCAGCACAAATCTAACTTAAAGGAAGCAAGAAAGCTCTTCAACTTATCTCACCTTTGGGAATGCAATGTCATGCTGTCTTTCTGGTTTATACATAACTTCTACAAAGCAGAACAAAGAAACGAGGGGTTAATAGGTAGACCTAGAGGTAGAAAAGTAAGTGTGCAAAGAACACTTGTGTGCATTAGGTAAATTAGTAGTAAGAAAATAGATTTATTAAATTGTACAATCATATGTTTTAGGGGTTTTGTACACAGAGTCTGGCAAAATTATACACAGACCAGTTGTAAAAAATAAACAGATAACACAATCTACAGTATCTTTTCAGTGAAAAGATCATTGAGTATATTTTCACAAATATATGTATCTGTGAGTATATATAAAAATATAAAAATAGACATTTTCATGTCTATTTTTGTCATTTGTTTTGTGTTTCCACTAAGCTTTTGAAAGACTATGTTATTAATTGCAAATACAATCACTTCCTGTGCAAAGAAACTTCATGTTAGTTACATGAGTTTGAAACAGCTCCCCTATCCCTTTTAAATTTCCATTTTCTCCTTTTCATACTTGAGCATCCTTCTTAGATAAAGAATGTATAGTTTTACTCTTTGCACTTACACATTAAGATTTAAGAGTGATGGAGTTTCATATTTCTTATTGTTAAATCAAAAAAACAAATAAAAATTTGTTTACATCCAGGCTTAATAAGTTATAGGGGAATATAAAATTTATTTATACAAACAAACAATGTCATATGGATCACATATGAGCATCACGTACCCTTGATACAATATATTGAAGGACACATCACTTCTGTTGCATTCTTGCCAAAAACACATAGTCTTAATGTGACCATCAGTTAAACCCAAGTGGACAGATATTCTAGAAAAGAGCAGATCAGTGGTCTTCAAAACACTCTGTTAAGGTCATAGAAAATATGAGAAGCTGAAGGAGACTAAGGAACTGTGACAACTAAATGCAATGTGAGATCCCGGATGGGATCCTCGGACTGAAAAAAGACAATCGAGGAAAAAGTAGCAAGATCAGAATAAAGTCTGTAATTCAGAGAATAGTGTAGTACCCATGTTAAGTGCTTGGCTTCAGTAATTATTTTCATGATTATAGAGAAGGTTAACATCAGGGAAAGCTAGATAAAGGTATAGGAGAACTCTCTTTTACGGGTTGTAGTACAGGTACTAGTTTCATAACTTATTTATAACTCTAAATGTATGAAATAGAATATTGAAAATATTAAATAAAATGTATTTGAAACAGAATAAAATAAAATATTTTAAAACTATAGTCTTCCTCCTTCCTGAGAGTTCAGTAGGGGCATGCTAGTCCAGTACCCATTTATTTTTCCTCTTTATTTTATACAAATTTGAACTTTGTGTTTATTTCATATTAACAGAGAGTAGCATCGAATCCTAACTTAAATTTAAAAGGGAGCTTAAAACCAAACAATTTAATCTCTTTATACACAATGGCACTCATCTGAAAATAATGCATATAGAAGAGAAAACATTTCATAGTCAGCCCATGGAAGTCTGTGACTAGCTGAGACCAGCACTCAGGAACCCTTACACTCAATGTAGTTCTTTTCCATACCACTCTGACTCCAGACTCAAGATTGTTACTAGCAGTATTTCTGATTTTATGATTTACCATAGGCATTTTTAAATGACAACGGATGACTTTAAATGATTTAAGACCTACTTCATGCCCACGATCTAGTCAGAGCCAGTTTTGTTTTGTTTTGTTTCGTTTTCCATAAATGTGTTCCCTGGCTTGTGTTGCTAAATGAAATTCAAAACTAGTGATATACAAATAGCTTTATCAAAGGCAAACGTCGTTTCATTTATTAGTGGTCACCGGTGGCCCATAAACAAAGTACAATCTATTGAATAAAACAGATTGCTTTTTTGATTCTATTGATTTGTTTCTTTGAATTTTCTGAGGATAATTTAGTAACAAAAGCCTTTCTCCACTATTACTTCCAATACATGTATTTACTCACGTATTTTTCTTTTGCTTACACAGAGAAAATGAAATAATTAAAGCAGTTTTTCAATGTTTCTGCAATTTGTACTTAGATCTTATGAGGCAAACCTGTGGATCAGTTATTTCTTTGCACATATACTGTGCCTGTGTGTGCTTTTCTTCTTCAACTTGAAAGACAGGGCTTTTGTCTCTTTTACAGAATTGAAAGCAAAAACCCAAAGATCCTTAATGCTTCTGGTGTGGATCTGAACAAATGACTAAGCTGCTAAGTAGCAAGACTACCCATATCGTAGTAGTTTCATATTATATTTAAATAGCCATGTTCTTTTTTTTTTTTTTTTTTTTTGGCAGAGTCTCGCTCTGTTACCCAGGCTGGAGTGCAGTGGTGTGATCTTGGCTCACTTCAACCTCCACCTCCCAGGTTCAAGCAATTATCATGCCTCAGCCTCCCAGGTAGCTGGAACTACAGGTACATGCCAACATGCCTGGCTAATTTTTTGTGTTTCTAGTAGAGATGGGATCTCACTGTGTTAGCCAGCATGGTCTCCATCTCCTGACTTGTGATCCGCCCACCTCGACCTCCCAAAGTGCTGGGATTACAGGTGTGAGCCACTGCTCCTGGTCAAATAGCCATGTTCTTTAACATTTAATGTCTTGCTAATGTTAACAGTCATGTTTACAGTCTTGAACAGGCGCAAGC